ACCCACTCTTCAATCAAAGATACCAGTAATTTATGCTTTGTGTTAAAAATACTTACATCTTGTTGCGTCTTTCAGATAAGAATCACCCAGAAGTTTTCCATCGGTTTCAAGTCTTGACTGCACGCAGGCTACACCATTGTTTGTATTCAGTGAAACCACAAACAGTACTTATTTTCATGCAAGCTATGAAGCGTGGCATTTTCGTGCCGCGGCTACAGCATCACCATTGGATGCTGTTGCTGACGTATGGTCTCGCTTTAATGTCCGGTCCAGCACCACGTCGAACCTAGCCGGGTCCTATGTAGTTAGCCACTAGAAGTTCCGACGCTTGGGTTGCAGGTTTCCATCACTGTCCACCCATCTCCCGTGTGTAATAAAACTATACATCAGAATCTCGAACCCCACGCGTTTGTTTGTGTCGTTGTTTAAGGTAGTACTCCTATACCATCATTAATCAGTTCACTGAGGTATCACTGGCTTTTTCGTAGTTATGCCAATAGTCGTTTCATACGTCCGGCCCAGGTAAATTAAATTTCCTTTCGTCTCTCAAGTACACAACATTTTATTTGTTTCTTGAGGTTCCATGAGTTTCAGCCCGCAGTCAACGATAACTGTTCGTAAAGTTAGGGTTTTGCACCGCATCATCTTGTACCGGGTGATTCACTGAGACGGAAACATATTTCTGATTAGAATTTTCGGCTGCGTTTCACTTGCGCTTTCACCCGACGAAAGTGTGTCAAATGGCAATGGGCGATTACAACTCACAAACTCGTCTGCACACCCTCCTGAATCGTTTGTATATGTTTGTGTTGGTGGGATTCAAACACGTCCTCAGGGGTGGCGATTAGGTGACGTTACCACCGTACCACCACCGCCCCTATTGGGGTTAACCCAATGGAACCCCGCCTCTGGATAGCTCTTTTGCACAATCATTCATTGCACCATCACATGAATGATATCTGCAGTTAAGTTCAAAACCGATCGTTTTACTTATTCTGGCTAAAAATTTATGGTTTCCCTTTATTAAGTTATCTTTGCCATAGTAATTTCATACTGATTCTCATAAATTCTCAATGGAACCATCTGTAATCTTCTCTTATTCATTGAAGATGGTTTTTAGTTTTCAGCAATAAAACCCTTTCTATATATATAACTCCTATTGTATGGAACAATCGTTGGATTATCAAAAACAAACTTGTTTCGCCTGCTTTTAGAAAATAAATTAATTATAAACAAACACTTCAGTTATATACGATAGAAGTCTCCGTGGTGACAGGCAAAGAGCACCGGACAGGTGTTTCGTTCTGTTCGAATCCTATTTGGGACGAGTTTCAAGCAGAGCGGAACAGCTGTCCAGTACTCCATGTCGGTCATCACAGATATTTTCATCACATGCATTCAACTGGTGGGTTATAACGATCTCAAACGGAGTGAAATCCACACCCAAGACAATCAACAGAGCCTGGTGCCTGTGGACAATCGAACGGGCTAATCCCAACAAGACACTCTAAACATTTCGTTTCCCTTCGATTTCGTCATCAAATGTCGTCATATCATCAACTCTTAGGTTCCACGTTTAGTGACATCTGATTCGACGATGGATAAGTAAACCACATCTTTGTTCTTTTCGCCTTCATCAACCTGAATTTAGTCGTGAAAAATGTCACAATGTCACAATAA